CTGATTCCAGATTTGAACTCAGGAAGATAAGTCTTCCTGCCTCCAGGCCAGGCAGTCTATCCACTGTGCCACCTAGCTGCCTCCTAATGTGTTAGTTACTGTGAAATGAAAAAAGGAAAGCTAAAAAGTAGCAGGTTGGGGAAACCAGGAAAAAACACATGAAAAATTAAATAACAATACAAGGAATATCATAAGGCACTATTAGACACTATTAAGTGCTTGCTATTTGTCTTTCATTCTCAAAGAGGACCAATGACATCATAAGGATGATATTAGTGTCACTCTCTCCTCAGAGTCATTGAAATCCAGTGGCAAGACAAAGGTCAAGATAACTGTCAATGGCCCCATTAAATGCCAAATAAGTGCTTAGAGACTTAGTGTAGTACAGTAGAAAGAATGATAGACTTGGGATTGAATTCAATCCAATACAACAAACCATTTATTCATACATTCATTGTTGTCTAAACACTTTCTCTTTTTCTTTCTTTTTTTATTCAAATTTTATTTTATTTTCATGTCCAAATTCTCTCTTTCCCCTTCCCCATACTCTCCCCACTCCACTCCCACATGCATTGAGCAACCAAGAAAAAACAAAATCTGTATAGTCAAATGAAACAAATTCTTCCATTAGTCCTATCAAAAAAAAAAAAAAAAAGACTCAGTATATGCTCTATCTGGATAGTGTATTTCACCATTGACTCTTTGGAATTATGGTTGTTCATTGTGCTAATCAGAGAGTTCCTAAGTCTTTTAAAGTTGTTTTTCTTCACAGTATCGTTGTTATTGTATAATTTTTTCTCCTGGTTCTGCTTACTTAACTCTTCATCAGTTCATCCATTTCTTACCAGGTTTCTCTGAAACCATTCCCTTCATCATTTCTTATAGCACAATAGTATTCTGTCACCCAATAAATGCTTATTAAACACCTATTATGTTTAAAAAAAAACCCAGTAGGATAAAAATTTGAAATGTTAAAAATCAGTAGGATTGAATTTTTATCTAAACTTAAACAGTAAAAGAAAAAAAAAAGCTTTCCCATATACACAGTAGAACAGAAAAAGATGATTTTATAAAAACCTGCTAATCTCTATAATATACAAATTGTTTTTTTTAAGGTATACATTAAATTCTCCTTGTCATTTTCAAAGTTGTCCTGCTTGTCTCTGTTTCCCTTTCCTTTTGTTTTCTTTTGTGTACTTTCATTTAAATGCTTTCTGGGATTTTCAAGTTGTGGTTTGTCACTGCCTTGATTAGAGTTCTCAAGTTTTTGAAATTTGTTTTTTTTTCTTCACCGTTGTTGTTATTGTATAAATTGTTCTACTGTTTCTGTTCACTTAATTCTGTATCAATTTATATAAATCTCACCAGGTTTCTCTGAAACTATTCATTTCGTCATTTCTTAAAGCACATTAGTACTGTAAGAGTGTTCCATTATATTCATATATCATAATATCTTCAGCCATTTCCCAATTGTTCATCAGCTTCTTGTTTCCAGTTCTATGCTACAACAAAAGGAACTGCTATAAATATTTTTGTACATACTGATCCTTTTCCTTTCTTTGGTTTCTTTGGTGGTATAGGTCTAGTATTAGTATTGTTGAATAAAAAGATATACATAATTTAGTGCCTTGGGGGTGGGGGATAGTTTCAAACTGTTATCTTTTTCTTCTTTTTTGTGAATTTTTTTTTTCAATTAACAACCATTTATGTTTTCTTCCTCAGCCTTTCTCTACCTTCACTGGAAAATGAAGAAAATAAATCCCTTATAACAAATACGCATAGCCAAACAAATGAAAATCCCATATTGGCAATATTCAAAAATGTGTGTCTTATGCTACTTATTTAAATGATTACCATTCGATTAGAAGGTTGATAACATTCTTCATTGTCGGTCTTCTGAAATCCTGGTTGATCCTTGTATTGATGGTAGTTAAGTCTTTCAAAATTGTTCATTTTTATAATGTGGTTGTTATAGCATACATTATTCTCCTGGATCTGTTCACTACACTCTGTATCAGTTCCTATAGATCTTCTCAGGTTTCATTGAAACCATTCCTTTCTTTATTTCTTACAGCACAATACTATTACATTCATATACCATAAATTGTTCATCTGTTCCCCAATTGACGGGCATCCCCAAAGTTTCCAGTTCCTTCCTACCACAAAAAGAGCTGCTATAAATATTTTTGCTCCTATAAGATCTTTTCCTGTTTCTTTCATCTTTTTCAGATTATAGGCATAGTAGAGGTATAGCTGGGTCAAAGGGTAGTTTCAGTGATTTGGAGAAATAGTTTCAATTTATTTTCCAGAATGGCTATACCAATGCACAGTTCCACCAGCAGTGCATTTGTTGTTTTCATTTTTGTCAACTTTGCCAATATGATGGATATTTTGTCAACTTTGCCAATGTGGTGGAACTTCAGAATTGCTTTAATCTTCATTTCTTCTAGTTATTAGTGATTTGAAGCACTATTTTTCATAGGGCTTTTGATGCCTTAGGTTTCTTCCTTTGATAACTTCCTGCTCTTATCATTTTACTATTCATCTAGTAGGGAATGGTTCTTGTTCTTACATATTGGAATTAGTTCATTATAGATCTAGAATATAGGATCGTCAACATAGAAATCTGTTGCAAAGATTTTTCCTGAGTTAACTCTTTCTCTTCAAATATTAACTGAATTGATCTTATTTGTGCAAGAACTTCTCTATCCCCTGATTGGTCATGAGATCTTTCCCTATCAATAGCTGAGATTGGTATTTCCTTCCTTGCTCTTCTAATTTGTTTATATCTGAATCATATATCTTTTTGGAGCTTATCTTGGTGTGAGATGTTTGTGTAAACCTAATTGTTGTTGGTTCATTTTCTACTTTTCCCAACAGTTTTTGTCAAATAGCAAATATTTACCAGAGTAGTTTAGTTATTTGAGTTTATTGAACATCATGCTATTATAGTCTTTTGCTTCTGTATGTTGTATACCTAGTCTGTTCCACTGATTGACTTTTCGATTTTTTAAAGCAGTACCAAATTATTTTTGATCGTTATCATTATATTCATTGTCTTTGGTACCTTTAAGTAATCTCTTTATGACTCCAGGATACATCAGGATTTTCAAGGGATTCTTCTTTCTTCTTCCCCATTAGACTGTTAAAAAAAAATGCATCATTGTAGAGTTCCCACAACATTTTCAGATATATCTACCTTTCTATGTTTCTCTTGACTCTTGCATTTGCATTTCAGAGTTTCTACTCAGCTCAGATCTTTTCAGTAGAAAGAATAGAAGTTATCTTACTCATTAGAGGTCCATTTTTTCTCTTGTAGGATTTTATTTAGTTTTGCTAGATAGGTTATTTTTGGTTGTAATTCTTCTTTTGCCTTTTGAAATATCATATTCCAAGCTCTCTTCTTCTTTAAAGTGATAGCTGCCAAATTTTATGTGATGATGATTGTGGCTCCTTGGTATTTGAATAATTTATGACTGCTTGCAATATTTTTTCTTTGACATAGGAGGTCTGGATTATTGTTGTTATATTCCTGGGCCTTTTCATTTTGCGATTTCTTTCAGGAAGTAACTGGTGGATTCTATTTTCATTTTACTCTCTGGTTCTAATAAAATGTGAAATTTTCTTTCATGATTTCATTCATTACAGTATCCAGGGTTTTAAAAATTGTTTTGAAAGTAATTAAAAAAATTTTTTTTTAAGTTTTCAGGCAATCCAGTGATTCTTAGATTATCTTGACTTGGTTTCCATGTCAGCTGTTTTTGATAGGAGATACCTTATGTTTTGTTCAAATTTTTTTTCAATTTCTTTATTATGTTCTATTATTTCTTGTTGTCCCATGGACTCACTGATTTCTGTTCAGTATATTCTAATTTTCAGTCCATCACTTGGGTAAGGTTTTACACCTCTTATACCAACTATTTATTCTCCCTTCAATTCTTTTCTTTAAAACTTTCATTTCATTTCTATCATTTTAAATACCATTTTAAACTCTTGGTCCATTTCTTCCAGGAATTCTAGAAGACCTTGTGACTAAGCTATGTTTTTGTTTAAAGCTTATAAATGCTGAGGGCATTATTTTTTTGTTCTAGATTTGTGTCTTGACTATCTCAACTATTTATAGCATTTCTTTATCATTGCTGGATTTTTTGTTTTGTTCTGTTTTGTTTTACTATTTTTTTCTAGTCTTACACCTCAAGTTGGAATATTCTGTAAGAGCAAAGCTCTACTCGCTTCTGGAAGGAATGGTGGGTCCTTGTTTGTTCCTGATTTGTACTATCTGGTGTCAGATAATGAGTACGATGTTCTTCAAAGACTTTAAAGTCAGTATAGGCTAGAGGGCAGTCAGCTTTCAGAGCCAGAGGTATGATCTGATCTAGTGCATGCTCTCATCCCTGCCCCTGGCCCTGGGCTTTGCAGGTTGCTGACCTCATTTTAGGGTTACAACAACATGACCTCATCCCTAGTCCACCCTGGTCCATGGTTTACCCCAGAACACAAACTCATAGGCTTTTGATTTTCCTCTCTTAACCCATGGTTCTTATGTGGGTTAGATTCTTTGCCCTATGCTTCCAGGCCTGGCTTTTCTGTCTGGATCCCTTCCCTTTTCCCCAGGGGAATATACACTCTCCAAGGTTCCCTGGATCACTCCTGTTTTGCAAGCTAAGAGGTTTCCTTGTACTGTGATCCCAAGCTGGGCTTTTTTGGTTGTCTTTTTCTGAGATCTGTACTGGGAAAACACACTTATTAACTTTTTTCCTTGGATTTGTTCTTAATAATTCAGTTTGTTGCTCTTTTTTTTTTTAATCCTTGTTGGGAGTGTGTGAGAACTTTGTTGTTCTGCTGTTGTTCACTCTACCATATTGAATCTCTGCTAATCAACAGAATTTTAATAGAAATGAATGGTGTCCTGGGTACAATGGTAAACATAAGTCCCTTGCTCTCTAGAAGATGACATTCTAACAGAACAATGGATAATGTAATTGTTTACAATTTTGTAGGTGCTGAAATACGGCAAATTGCTGAAATCTACAGTATTTAAAACCACCTCAGTGGCTCAAATGGACTCATCTAACTGCATAAAACCTTGCAAGTGTTTTGGAAAAATTGTAAGTAGGACAGAGAATAGGATTTAGGGGGGAAAAGGCCTCCTCCTAAGGAGATAACCTTCTATTCTACTTGCCCCTGGTATTTGCTGCAGGCTGTGATATGGCAATAAGCCATCCTCAGAAGCTCCAAATATTTTTGCATTTGTTGCAGGGATCCGTTTACCCCAACAGGTGGAAGTGTGTCATGCCTAAAGGATACCAACAGCTGCAGGAGCCTGGGCTATTCAGAAGCTGTCTTAAGGAATAAGTTGGAGGCCATTCCCTGTTACTGAGGCATAACTGAGGCTTGTTAGGATCCCCAGACTGAAATAATTGCTATTTTTGTCAGTTCCACATCACCTGTTATATATAAATATTAGAGTGAAAATGTCGGGTCTTAGCCATGTGCTGCTATGAAGGATTTCCCTTCGCCACACTCTTTTAGAGGTGGAACAATTTTGGAAGATTTCTGATTTCTCTTCTACTGTTTTCAGTGCCTCAAAATTGGATTTCAGTCTGCCTACCTGATCACACAGTAGGTGCTTAATAAATAAGGGTTTAATGGCAGTTGTAATAATATGTACTTCCTATACAAATATGGCATTACTTAGCAGTCTACAATCAATAAGGCATATGATCTGAATTATTTTCCCAGTAGTAATAATGGATTCCCTCTTTGCATTTTGATATTTTAACATAGAAAGTCAAAGCTAGGAAAGACCTTAGAGATCATTTGGTCTAACCTCTCATTTTATGGATAATTGAGGCCCAGAGAGGAGGACTAAGTTGCTAAGCTGGCAGAGAGGCTGGTGGGAGAGCCAAGAACTTAAGCTGGAGTCTTGATTTCCAAATCACTGCTCTTTTCCATCATACCAGGATGATTTGCAGAGTTTCGTTTATTCAGCATAAACACCGAGGACCTATTTTGTTGTCTAGTTTCTCTTGTAACCAAGGAAATATATTTTTGAGACAACTGATCTGGGGGAGAAGTTTGTGGGCATGGGATGGCAGTTGTAGTGGAAAGATACTCTGCCCTAGGAGTCAGAAGACTCGGTCTTGACTCTGGCCCCTAATACTATGGAACTTTGGAATCACCAATCTTGACCTCAGTTTCTTCCCCCATAAAAAGAATTTAGACTGGATAATTTCTAAGATCTCTTCAAGCTCATTCTGTGGCTGTGGAATCAAATCTATGACTTTGGCTTCATCAGCCCTGTCTTGTAATGAGCAGAGCTAATCAGACACAGCCAGCCACTTCAGGCTCCACAGAAAAATCACTATTTTGTTCAATTCTACATCTGTTACATTTGGGTATTAGCATTCAAATAGAAGGCCTTGCCAACATGCTATGAAGGATTCTCCCTCTCCAACCTTATTTATCAGGTGGGATGAACATTAGCTCTCTAAGAGCAGAGAACCCTGAGGAATGAAAAATCATAGACAGTGTAACATGAAGGATGGCATTCTCTTGCTCTTTTGTCCCCCTATCAAGTACTTATAAAAACCTTTGCTATGTCCAGGTCACTAAGTGCTTTGAAGGACAGAGAATGTACAATGAAAGGATCACAGGATTCAGAGTTGGAAGGGACCTTAGACCTAGTGGCTTCATAGCTGAGGAAACAGGGACTTGGGGGTTGTGGTGGGGGAAGTAAAGACCAATAGAACAGTAAATGGCAGAAGTGACTGGAGGGGATAAGATGGGGTAGTAGAAGGCCTAATGATATTTCTGGCCCTGTTTCCTCATCTGAAAAATTAAAGAATTAGACTAGTTGACCCCTGAGGACACTTCCAGCTCTAAATCTATAATCCTATGATCTGAACAAAAGCCTTACTCTAAATTAATGCAAATATCCACCAAATATTCAAATCTCAGGGGAAAATTTTGTTACAAAATGAATTTGCTTGACCAATCAATCTATCTACAAGCATTTATTAAGGGTCTACTCTATTCCAGGCACTGTGCTAGGTGCTGGACAAAGAAGAAAATGAAGTCCCTCCCTGCAAGGAGTTTACTTTTTACCAGAGGAGACAACATGCACATAAATAATATATACAGAATAAATACAAGGTAAATTTGTTTGGGGGAGGATGGGTGGGAAAGGGGCACTAGTCATCTTTAATATTATCACTAAAAAAATGAAAAAATTTTCTTTTAGTTGAAACACCCTGTGAAGTACTTTGGTACAAGAAAGTTTGATGTTTCCCAGTAGTATTGAAGTACCCTATATTCTTTGTTGCTGTTTTTAAGTTGTATCCAACTCTTCGTGACCCCATTTGAGGTTATCTTGGCAGAAATAGTGGAGTAGTTAGCCATTTCCTTCTCCAACTCATTTTACAGATGAGGAAACTGAGGCAAGCAGGGTTAAGTGACTTGCCCAGGGTCACATAGCTAGTAAGTTTCTGAGGCCAGATTTGAACTCAGGAGGATGAATCCTCCTGACTTCAGGCTGGGCACTCTATTCACTGTGCCAACTAGCTGCCCTGCCCCATGCTCCATCTCCACATTATTATACAATTTTGCAAAGAGCATTTCATTTAATAGACTGGTTTTTTTTAAAGGAATGTATAATGAGGTTATAAAGTCCAGGAAAGGTCAGGATGTGAAGGGCTTTAAAAGCCAAACAGAAGAGTTTATATTTTATCCTAGTAACAAGAGGAAACCACCAGAGTTTATTGCGTCACAGGACTGATATGGCTCTGACCTATGCTTTAGACACATCACTTTGGCAGCTGTAAAGGATAGATTGGAATGGAGAGAAACTGGAGGCAGGGAGATTGGTTAGAAGGCTATTAAAGTAGTTGAGGTGATAAGTGAAGTCAGCCTGAAGTAGGGTGATGACTGTTTGAGTGGAGAGAAGGGAATATAAAGGAGAGATATTACAGATGTAGAAATGACAAGATTTGATGGAGTAGATATGGGGGTTGAGTGAGAGTGAGGAGTGAAGATGACCCAGAGGTTGAGAACCTAGGTGACTAGGAGGATGGTAGTTCCTTTGACAATAATAGAGAAGTTGGGAAGAAGGGTGAGTTTGGGAATAAAGATGAATTCTGTTTTAGACATATTGAGTTTGACTTGACTATATCCAGTTTCCAATGTCCAACAGGTAGTTGGTGATGTATCTGGAGCTCAGGAGAAAGCCTGGGGCTCAATATATGGATCTGGGAATCATTTGCATAGCTAATTGAACCCATAGCAGTTGATGGAATCACCCAGTGAGATTATATGTAGAGAAAAGAGGAAATGGCCTAAGATAGAGCATAGGGAGACACCCAAAATGAATGGGAGAGGCATAGATGAAAGTCCAGCTAGAAGACTAAGAAGAAGGGAGTAGTCAGACAGGTAGGAGGAGTTCTAAGATGCAGAAAGGAAAAAATGTACAGGAGGAAAAAGTGATCAATATTGTTAAATGCTGGAGAGTTGAGAAGGATGGATGAGAATTGAGAAAAGACGTATTTGAGTTGACAATTATAAGATAAAGGGTATCCCCCAAGTGCCTAGCACAGTCCTTACACACAGTAGGCGCTTAATAACTGTGTTGAATTCGCTGAACCTAGAGAATATTAAAAAACAACAACCACAACAACACCTTAAGAAAGGCATAAAGCTGCTCAATTTCTAGAGGCGAAATTGTTGAAATAAGAACGAGGCCTTTTTTTTTTCTTTTCTTTCTTTCTCTCCCCCCCCTCCCCCCCATGAGAAAGCTAGCAGTTTTCTTTATTCTACTCCCTTATAATTGACAGGGAGTTTAACTTATAGTTAGTACGGGCAGGGGCTCTGCTTTGTCCAATCATCTCCACAGATTTCGGGGAGGGGGCGGGCGCTGCAGCACCACTCTTCGCTGGCGAAGGGGGCGGGCCTCCGTGGCTTTTTGCACAGCGGCATTGTGGCTGCCTGGCAGTCCATCGAACCAATGGAAACAAAAGAGCCGGTTTGAATGGCCCAATACCGGGTGGGGAAGAGGCGGGGTCTCGGCCCCGTATAAAATGGGAGGCCAGGGGCGGAGTGGGGTAGAGGGTGATTTTTTTTTTCTCTGTGTGTGTGTGTGTGTGTGTCCGTGAGTGTGTTCAGTTGGACCTTGTCCGAGAGCCGCGCTGCTCTCCGTCCGTTTGCCCGTCCGTGCACCCCGCCACGGTCCGGCTCCGGCTTCGCCATGACCACCACCACCACCTTCAAGGGCGTCGACCCCAATGGCAGGAATAGCTCCCGGTAAGCGGAGGAGGAAGAGGAAGAGGAGGAGGATCCTCGGTCTGGGGGAGTGGAGGGGGCGGAGGCCCGAGGCTCTGACCCTCGATCCCCCGAGTCCGGCCGCTCGGCTCTGCTGGAGGGCGTGGGTGGAGCGGTGGCGTGCGTCGCGTGGCCGCCGACTCTGGCAGTTGGCCGGGGTACCGTCCCCCCTGCTTCTCGGGGCCGCCCGAGTGTCCCCTCCCCGGGGATGGAGAAAGGGGGAGCGAGCGCAGGCTCCTTTGTGTGAGGGGCAGAGCCGGCGCCGGCCGCTCCACCCAGCTCACCTGTCGAGACGTGGACGCCGGGGCTCGTGGTCCCCACCCCCTGCCCCAGCCGGGGCCGGCCTGGGCTTTGTAAATGGGGGCGGTGGCTTTCTTGGGGAGGCGGTGGGGGGGATGCTTGAGACTCCCCCTCCCCCCAGCCACACATGCACACACACACTCAAGTTCAGCCCGGCTCCCAACCTGGGGTACCTGTCTGTCATGGTCTGCCAATAGCCCGGACTTGTGCCTCATCCCGTGCCCCTCTCCCCCCACCTCCAATGGCGAGCTTGGGCCCCCTGCATCCATCCCCTCCTCCTCCCCCCTGCGGGGAAGGGTGTTCTAGTGTCTGGGTGTAACCCACTCTCTCCTCGCAGGACTGGATTGAAGAGGCTGGAGAAAGTAAGTAACCTTCCCTGTGACAAAGGGAGGCTTTCCACCCCACCCACTCCCTCCCCTGTCCAAGCCCACCTGAGAACCAGGGGGCCCAGAGATCCTCTCTGTGGTCCCCCCTTTTGGACGTCACCCTTTTATTCCTTCCCCTCGCTGCTTTTCCCCCTTAACATTTCTCCGGGGACTTTATCCTCCCGTTCCCCCGTTGCAGTAGCTTCCTGCACTTGGGTGGGGCTGGAGGCACATCCATTGTCTCTTGTGAGGCTTCTCCACCTGGGAAGAAGCTCCTCTGCCGGCTGGGAGGCAGAGTTATCCACTCTTATTTAACTCAACCTGGTGCTTTTGAGGGAAGTGGAGGTTTATGGTGTCCTGGCTGAAACCCTTTAGGCCCTTAACTTCCTGGAAAGGTTGGCTGGATGCTGGCTTTCTTTAAGGTGTCTACATTGTTTGCGCTAATCGGGTACTGTGGCTTTAAATGTATTCCAGCCAGCTTGAAAGGAGCATGCTCCTCCTGGGTTGGAGGAGGCTTGGATTCCACTTTGCTTTAATGTGTCTCCAATTCTCCCGTTGATCACACCACCACTACTGTCTTGGCAAGTGGCTGGTATTGGGGTCCTAGGGAAATGTTACATAGGGAGCCATTTTGTGGGGCAAAGGAAGCAGAGGCATGACAACGGGGAGATGGGAGAAGGTTTAGAGTACTTGAACAAAAAAGCAAGCTGAGACACTGGAGTCTTCAGTCTTTTCAGAGAGCATCTGGAAATCACGTCGTTAGTATCACTTTTGAATTCACCTGAAATGTTTATTCTACAGTATAAATCAGATATCAAATTGCTAGTCTTCTCAATGGGTGGAGAGGTGGAGGGAGGGGAAGAATTTGGCACTCAATTTTAAAAAAATATTAAAAATAAATATAAAATCAGGATGGACAAGGGTTTTTTTTGGGGGGGGGTTGTTTTTAAGCAACTAATGCCAGTGGTTTTTTGGGGAAAGGTGAGCAACATTTATTAGGTGAAACTAAGAAAGTACTTGCTTGCTGCTTGCCTTGTCTTCTTTGAGCTGGAATGTAATTAAATACAAATTAACTTTTTGAAAGGGTAGTTTTAGGAAGGAAACCAAGCCTTGGCTTTATATTTCCTTGGAAATGTCTCCTGCTATTTCATCAACTTTCAGGCTTAGCTGCCTGAAATGGTTAGAATGAGATTGCAAAATTTGGAATTTTCAGGTCACCTTTTGGAATTGATGATAGAGTACATATATCACACAGAGGCTCATAAATACTTTTATTTTTCTTTGCAAAACACTTAAGATGCTGAGTTTTATTGAAAGTTTTTATTGTCTAATTAGCATTAATTTACCATGGAGATTATGACTTCCATAATTCATCATGGTCTTGTATTATTGTGCTTCACTTTCACTGTCTTCATTCAGTTTTCTGTATTTCCAGAACTTCCTTGTCTTATCTTTGCCAGATTTGCACAACATCAAGGGTTCTTAACCTGGGGCCTGGGAAGTTTTTTTTTTTTAAATAACTTTCAATATAATTTATTTACTTTGTAATCTTATGTATTTTATATATTTACATTATTCTGAGAAGGGATCTATAAGGCTTTACCAGGTGCCAAAAGGGAGGGGTCCTTGACACACAAAATTTGAAGAACCCTGGCTCTACATAATTGTTTGGTTTGAGGTTTTTTTCCTCCCTCCCCTTGGTAGAAGTAAACTGATTATGAATTTTAAAGAGATAAGGTTGAAGAGTTTTTCCTCAGAAAAGGCATTCTACTGCAGATAAATGGGCATAGTATTAATACTTCCTTAAATGTTTGATCCAGAATTAGTCATATCCAAGGAGAGAATATACTCTACATTTTAAGCAGAAGTTATTTGATTTTTAAATCTTCTGAACCTTTGTTGAGGGACTTTTCCTACTTAATGCTGTAAATGTCATCAACAACAGCTTACTCTGTTGTGGGAGGCTACGTTGTTGGCAGTTGTAAAAGGAACACAGACTTTTAGGGTGGGACAAAGCTTTTGGTTTTTTTTTAAACTGTTGCTAGACTTAAAAAAAAAAAGACAGTAAAACTCCTCAATGTCTCAATTCTGAATACATTTATCTACAAATAGTTTACTGTGCCTTCCTTCTTAATTAAAAGAAGCTTTCCAAGCCTGAGAATGAAGGGAAGGTGGACTGAGGCTAATTGAGGAGAGTAATTCAAGTCATTTAGCTGATAACATCATAGATTTAGAGCTAGAAGAGATCTTAGAAGCTATTTAGTCCAACCTCATTTTGCATATGAGAAAACTGAGGCTGAGGTCCTTTTATTCCAAATCTAGTACCCTTCAATATATGGGTACAGATAGTAACTTAGCACTTAGTGCTTTTATGGCTTACAAAGCGCTTTCCTTAACTCTGTCCAAGTATTATCCCCATTTTATTAATGAGGAAACTGACTCCATTGTGGCTTGTCCATAGCTCACACAGTTGAGAGTATGGTGCATGTACAGTGGATAAAGTGCTGGACTTGGAGCCTGCTACAGTTAAGCTCAGATATCACAGCTGATAATGTTAAGCTGGAGGAATCCCTTTTATATTCAACAAGCATGTATGTCATGCCTTCTGTGTGTCCAGTATTGGAGATATAGAAAAAAATATGAAATAGTCCTGGCCTCAAAGAGCTTGGAGAATATATATCTATATCTACATGGAGATATAGAAATAGATATATACATACACATACACATGCATACATATAAAATAAATACAGGGTAATTTGTAGGGAGAAAGACACTAGGGATCAGAAGACGCATTCTGAAGATGGCAACTGGGGTGATTGAAGCTAAAGATTCTAAGAGGTAAAAGGAGAGGAAGGGAGTATATTCCAGGCATGGTGGGGGTGGGTACAGTCTGGGCCAGAGCTTAGATACAGAATAGGGAATGTTTTATGTGAAGAAACAGCAAGAAGGCCAGTTTGACTGGAAGGGGATGTTCGGGAAGGGCAACAATGTATTATGCCTGATAGAAGAGTTTGTATTTGACCCTGGAGGTAATAGGTAGCCACTGGAATTCATTGAGCTGGGAAGTGACATGATTAGGCTTGTGCTTTAGGAAAATTATTTTGGCAGTTTTATGAACATGGATTGGAAGGAGGAGAGTGTTGAGTCAGGGAGAGCAGTTAGGAGGTTACAGCAGCAGTCCAAATGAGAGGTCTGGAGTGCATAGGCAGACTAGTGATTTTGTGATTAGAACAGGACAGTTTCTGCCCCACAACAACAACAAAGAGACAGCAGGACTCTAGATGTTGAGGTAGAATTGACAAAACTTAACAAGTGGAGTATGTGGGGTGAGGTGGAGTTAGGGGTGTCAGGGTGGTGAACCTGAGTTACTGGAAGGAGGAGGATACCCTTGATAGAAATAGGGAAGTTTGCATGAGGCTTGGGGAGAAGGCAGAAGAGAAAAAGTTCTGTTTTGGACATGTTGGAAATGGGAAATGTCCAGTAGGTTGCTGGTGATGAAATAGAGTTCAGAGGTCTCTATATCTGGGAATTATCTGTGAGAGAAGATAATTAAACCCATGGGAGTTGGTGAGTAAACCAAAAGAGTATAGAGAGGGCCCAAGATAGAGCCTTGGGGTGTAATCAAATTGAAGATCACATATGGATAATGAAGCAGCAAAGGAGACTAAGAAGGGGGTGGTCAGGGAGAGGAGGAGAATTTGGAGAGCAGTGTCACAAAACCCAGAAAGGAGTTTCCAGGAGGAAACAGTGGTTAACAATGTCAAATATCGCAGAGAAGTCAAGGAGAATGAAGAAAAGTCCATCAGATTTCAGTTGAAGTAGGAGGCAGTAAGTGTAAATAGCTTTTTCTCTGTGAGTTTTACTTTGAAAGAGAGGAGGGAGATGGTTGGATCTAATGAGGGCTCAGAGGGCAGATTTGTTGGGACAAAGCTGTTGGGAAAGAACTAATAGGAAGAGATTGATAATCAGGAGGATTGTAGTGGGGAAACTGCTGGAGGGGATGTGATCAGGAATGTACTTGTTAAAGGGTTGATCTTGCCTCTTCAGAGATTGGAGTAAAGGATAGAAGAGGGAGTTTATAGTGATTGGCTGCTCTTGGTAAAGTATGAAGGAAGAGTCTTCTTTGTGAAGCTGGGAGTGGGGGGAAGGGTTGTGTTGGAAGGCTTGAGAAGAGCTATGGAATAGCTGCTAGTGTGGGTGGAGAAGGGGCAGCACTCCTGCGCCCTAGAAAATCAGTTAAAGGAGGAGTCAAAGGGCCTCCTAATTCGGGCCAAGGAATGAGCAGGATGTAACTGAAGAAAAGAGTTTTGGTCTGGAAGACTAGGACCTGGGGCCCAAACAGTTAAGGCTCTTCTTTCAGAAACCAAAATGGGGAACAAATACCTCTAGAGGGTAGGATAGGCTAGGCAAGGGTTCTTAAACTTTTTCCACTGGTGACCCCTTCAGCACTTCTTAAACTGGGGTCTCCACTCACAGTTTAAGAAGTACTGGACTAGAGCAGTGGATAATAAGGCAGCACCTGAAAGGAATTTAATGCTGTAAATCTGGACAGAACTAAGTAATAGGTGATCATATATGGAATTTATCTTAACAGTGCAGGATCTTGCATCCCCAAATTTCTTCTGTTTATATATTTGAATTGTGTGTTAGAGTGGGAGAAATGGGGGGAGGTTAGCTTCTTACCCATTAGTAATGATGACAATGAAGAGTTAATCTAAATCTTACCAATGAAGGGGACCATTTTGTTTACAACCTCTTACGACAGGTAAAAAGATTTAAGTTAAATTTTGTTAATTTAATCTTTACATTAGTCATTTGTGGAGGTGGGAAAAACCTTTCCCTTCTGCCCCACCCCCCAAAAAAGTAACATTAGGCCAAAACAATCTGATAGAGCAACTACATCTAACAATGTACTCAACATTCTGTCCTAGTAGTTAAGTCACTGCCTCTGTTGTTAAGGATAGGAAGTTGTTTATTTTGTTCCCAGGGACCTTCAGTGTTTTTAGTGATCAAGTCTTCATTTATGTTACTATAGACAATAACTTTCTTTTGGCTCTGTTTATTTCATTGCATTTGTTCACACTTTTTTCCATGTTTCACTGTTATTATTCCTTACTGCACAATAGAATTTTATTTCATTCACATGCCATTTTTTCCCTAGCCATTCCTCAGTTGATGGGCATACTTGATCTGTTTCCACTTTTTTACTACCACAAAATACTAAGCCTAAAATTTAAGATAATATATCTTTGCCAGGAAAACCAGATGGGGTCACAGAGTCGGACATGACTGAAATGACTGATCAGCAACAACAAAGAAACGGCAGGATTGTAGAAGGAATCCTGGATTCTAAGCATATTCACGAGACTTTGGAATGATTCTTAGTGTTTGAGCTGAATGTGTTTGCCTTGGTATCTAGTTGCTAATTTTCATGAGAAGTCATAGGCAAGATTAATGTTATGTGTAAGCTTCTTAGGTGATGGCTGAGATTGAAAATATATTGCCTTATTTTCTACCATAATTTGTGCTTTGATAACTGGTGGAAATTCATTGATATCATTTCCTCATTTGGTTTCTTGGAAAATAGTTATAGATGGACCACTTTGGAGACTAAAATCTATTCCACTCTAAAATCCATTCTTGTAAATTGAGAAACTGGTAGTACAGGCTTCTTTGCCAATGTACTCTACTATGGCTGAGTGGTTTTAGTTTTCTTTAGAAACTTTAGCGTTGGTTTACCAAGACTTCCAATAGAGCTTCCATTTGTGATATAATGTTAGTATTCAGAAGTGAGTTTGAACTGTGAGTTCACTTTTCCTTAGTGGTCCTGTCTGCATTTGTTCCTTGGAAAATTTTTTTAAACCCTTTTTTTATTTTTTAATAATTTTAAGACTGTTAGGCCCTTGATGAATCTTTGTTCCTTTATTCTTAGGGTGTTACGTCCTCCAGGTGGCGGGTCTAATTTTACTTTGGGCTTTGATGAGCCTACAGAACAACCAGTGAGAAAGAACAAAATGGCATCTAATATTTTTGGAACATCTGAAGAAAATCAACCGTCTTGGGCCAAGTCAGCAGGTATTCCTCACTTGCATGGACTCAGCTTACCGTTCAAAAGTGATATACTCCCCGAATAAACAGTCTCAGCTGTGTAGTGTTCGTGAGGAAAACATTAAACCTTAGTCCAATCAATAATAAAATAAGAAAGTTTAATTCTTTTTTAGTGAAGACACTGTCTGGAAATAGTTGCTGTCCTTTGAATGAATTGATAAGTTTTTCAAGACTGTCTTTTGTTAATCCTATAACTGTACTAGGTGGTGTGTTTTTCTTTTTAGTCATTACATTCTTGGATTCTAAGGCTTACTCTTTATTTTTAGGGGCTCAGTCAAGTAGGGATAATTCTGAACCGTCTGGACTCCAAAGAAGAAACTCTTCTGAAGCTGGTTCTGGGGATATTTTAGGTCCAAAGGTTAGTATGCCATATTGTGATGCAAAAAGAATGTTTTGAGATTTAAAAAAAAAGAGAGAGACCAATAGCCAACAGCTATACAATGCGTTAAGATTTATAAATTACTTTACAATATCTCACCCCCAACAGCTTCCTATGACACTACTTCTATGGAAGGGGAGTAGTCCACACAAGAAAATCAAGACCCTCGGGCTTACAGGCTGAGCTCTGAGTTTAACATGTACTCAAACTTCTCTCAAACCAAGAATTGCTTTTGTTCTCGTATTTATCTGTAGTGCTTTGGTGCCATAGACTGTTCAACTCACTCACTTTACAGATGAGGAAATTGAGGTCTAGAAAAGTTGTAACTTGACCAAAACCTCACACTAGAGTAACAAAATTGGAGCAAGAAATTAGGTTTCTAAGGTGCGTTCTTCAGATCTGGTGGCTACCATTTTACATGGAATTGGGGTAAAGCTAGTTTAATATTTTGGCATATTATTTCTAATTGTCTAGTTCAGGTTTACTAGACTTATATCAAAGATACAATGTAGGGGCAGCTAGGTGGCACAGTGGATAGAGGTCCAGCCTTGGAGTTAGGAGGACCTGAGTTCAAATATCAGACACTTGACACTTACTAGCTGGGTTACCCTGGGCAAGTCACTTAACACCCCCCCCCCCATTGCCTCACAAATAAATAAAAAACAATTTTTTTTAATTTAAAAAAAAGATACAATATGCATGTCTGTTCTAGCTAAACAGTGATGTACATGACAAGAAACACCTCAAAAAACTGAATCTCTATTCCTTTACTAAAAATTGTGAAAAGTGCTCAGATCATTGTTGAGGAAGTTGAATCTGGAGGGGCTTCTTCATTGGACTAGATCAATCAACAAGCATTTATTTAGATAACTTCTAAGGTCCCCTTCAATTCTAAATCTATGCTCCTGTAATTCTTGGGGGATTTGGAATTGATATCCTGGATTGGGATAAGTGGGTTTCACATTCTGATAAGAGTTCAAGGTTTAAAAAAACAAAATTGACCAACCCACAACTTACTGTGAGCCACAATGTTAACTTGATATTAAGATCGTTCATAGAATTATTTCTTTCACTTTCAGTTTGGTGCTGTTTATTGGCTAAAAGGTAGAAGTTATTTATTACACAGATGTACACAATCATAATGTCTCAGGCTGCAAAAATAAAAGAGAATTTTTAAGAAGGTAGAAGGGAGTATATATAACTCGGACCACCTCAGCCAAAGATTAGGACTGAGCAAGTTAAAAAAACTTTTGATATACCTAGATTTTTCTTTATTGTGCTTCATTTTTTCTCCTGTGTAAATATAAATTTGTTAGGAGACATTAAAGATAAAAGTCTTAAAATAGGAATTTCCTCTTGAGCTGATTTGTGGGATTTGTGATGCAGTTTTTAACAAGAACTAAAAGACCAATATCTTTAGCATTCTGGCTAGCTTTCTTTTATGCCAAAACTCAGTTGAATATTAGATCAAAAAGATTTTTGTAGCCACTGTCTCCATCAAGCAGCTTCCAAGCGAAACAGAACTTGTAAGCCTCTGGCTACTGGGTTCACATATTGTATCTGTGTTGTCAAGTGTTGGATACAAAATCTTATTTTTCCTTTCTTTTCTTTCACTTTGTAGGGAGAAGGTGATGTTCATGGTGAGTACTTCTAGTTTGTTTCTGCTCTATATATGGTGTTACAAGAAATATAAGGAGTATTGTTTTAGACCACGTTGTTCTGGAGAAGATGAGGGTGGTAGAATAAATGAATATGTTGGGCATGAAACTGGAACCTGCTGTAATTGATAAGGTGAGTTAAATGTATCAACAGTATTCTACAGAGAATGGAGAAGAAAAATACTAGGGACTGACTCAATCTATTTTATTAAGCACCCACTGTGGATCAGGAACTGTGCCGAGCTTTGAAAGTATTATACCTCGACATCTCATATCTTAATCAGCAATGAGATGATTACCTACCTTCTCTAGGTAAATTTTTGGCATTTGTGGTTTCAAACGGTAACAGTGGAAGCTTTTGTAAAAAAGACACAACAAACCCCACAAAAGCAAAAAAACAAAAAACCCAACAGCCTCCCTTCCCCGAAACCAAATCCACAAATCCTAAAATTGAGATTACCTTTGTCTTTGTCATGCTAAATGAGTGTGTTCCTATAGATAACTATAGGTATGTCTGGCTTCTCAAATTTGGTAAACAATTTTTTAAGGCATAGTGTGTATAGGACTTTTGTGATTATTCAGTAAGAGAGAATCTTACTTACCATTTCATGAATGCTGACCTTTTAGAGGTTGGGTTCTAAGTATATAAATTAAAAGCTAATTTGGGGGCAGCTAGGTGGCGCAGTGGATAGAGCACTGGCCCTGAAGTCAGGAGGACCTGAGTTCAAATTTGGCCTCAGACCAAACACTTGACACTTATTAGCTGTGTGACTCTGGGCAAGTCACTTAACCCCAGTTGAAAAAAAGAGAAAGCTAATTTGACAAATGTCAAATCTCTGGTTGTAATGAAAGGGATTCAAATATCAATCAGTATTGATAATTTTAAAAATAACTCATCTGTAAGAATGCAGCAGTCTCAGAGTCTGATCCATGCCTTCTCTTATTCTTGTCACTGCTATATATTTCTTACTTTGAGACTGAAACTTCTGGAGAACAAAATAATCATCCACTCAAGCATAGTTTCTTTAGTAAAGAATCAAGTCAGTTCTTTAAATTTGAGTACTATTTGAACTCCCTGAAACCATTCTTAGAAATCAGAGCTCAGTCATTTCCTTATTGGTCCAAATATTTGCATGTCTGATTTGAGGTGAAGAGACTGTCCTTTTGGTGACTGATTGTTTAGTGGTCTTGACTAAGTAAAAACAATAGACTGCTGTTCTTTTAATGGCATTTAAGTGCCTAGTTAATGCTGTATGTAGGCACTTAAATATTACTATAAACTAAAATTCTGCTGTGAGAATTCTCCAGTCCTCATTCAGGACCAATGTAGTGGTATCTCTTCTTTGGCTGCAGAAGGACAAGTACTTAATTAATAATGTAAAATCTAGCCTTTTAGGTATTATCTTTGAATGTAAAGAAATGGTAGAAAAACATTTCTGTTGCTTTAGATCAGAGTTATGTTTCTTTTGATAAGCCAGCTTACCCCTTGTATACAGTTTTGTGGTAGTTTTTGCTATAAAAACATGCCAGTATATGATACTTAGTATAATATTGTCCATGTGGGCCTTTGTTATAGATGAGGTTATTATAACTCTCTTTCTGGTGATTATAGTAACTAAACTTACCTACAAAGAATGCTAAATTGATCAATATTAACTGAAATCCCTGCTATGGTAGAAGTGTATCATAGGGAAGCTCTAATGGTAATATGATTTTTTGTATAAATTAAAATTATTTACATATTAAGACCCATTCAAGTAATACATTTCTCTTGGTTAGCATATTTTTGGCATAGTACTTTAAATTTTTAATACACTGGCTTAGCTAATCTGGTACCCTCCACCATCATCATAATCATAGTTGACATTTATATCACACTTAAGGTTTACAGAGTATGACTAACTTGTGATCCTTCTTAGCTACAGAGCATGGAATAATCTGTGATGGTATTTACTGAAAAGTGTTTTAGTTATGAAAGCCCTGTTAAATTCCTCACCAGTCCAGCTTTATTTTCCCCCTAGTTTGCTATTCTTCCCCCCCCCGCTCACCCCTTGTAGGTAAATTATATGTGGGACTACATGACAAGTTATTTTTTTTTCTCTATGCTCATATGGAATGAACTACCTAAACATACTGAACCTCTCTACCTACTAATATTTATATATTTTCCATTTACATTGAGATGCATGTTTAACATTGCCTGTGAAAATATCTCTTATGCCATCTGAACTCTGGGAGTCAAATTGTTAGTGCCATTTTCTTTTCAGAAATTTAATTATTATTCTTCCTATACTATCTTCCATCCTATGCCTTATTAAAAAAAAAAAATAGATAGTCTTGAAGAGATTTTGGTTGAACATGAAAAAAGTGACTCAATGTTTAAAGTAGTAGTCTCTATCCGTGGTCTCTTTAAGAGAATATATATTTGTCTCTCTTGAGTGATTTAGACACTTCTTTGGCCTCCAAACAGAACAGATGGTGAGTTTCTTCTAGGTCTAGGATTCAGTGGCCCTTATAATCTCCTCTCAACCCTTCTTTCTCCCACCCCTCCCCCAGACCTTTATATACACTTATTATTAGTGTGCTAGAGAAGAGAGGGTAAGTACAATTTCCAGTTGGATAAATAAACACTTAGATCCCAAGGACTGTTCCTTTATATATAAATCTTATGTGGGACATTGGTTCTATCTTTATAAAGACTATGTTCTTCTTTTGATATAAAACAGACATAAGACTGGGGGAAGAAATAAGTGATGCATTCCAAAACTGACCTAAGGAAGTGAAAGCTACCATTGTAGAGCTGTAGATTGATTCACTGTGCTTCAGATGTATTCATTAACTGCACAATCCAAACAAACAATGAAGTATTGAACATGAACCAATTAATTCAGACTTTCAGAAGTTCTTTACAGTGCTGAGTGGGTAAGCAGTGTCAGATCAACTTGGGCATAATGTCTTGAATTGATAAGCTGGCTTACCCTGAAATCATGACCCTTTAAAACATATACTAAATTCAGCACATAAATTCCAAAAGCTTTCTCATTTTGCTTTCCCTCTGAACTGTCTTCTGATAATTTGTAAAACATGCTTCCTCAATGCTCTTCTTTCTTTTTTGGTATTGCTATTCCTAGACCTACCCTCAAATAAAAAAAATTATCAGTTTCCCCGCTCTTGACACATACACTTTGTGTATGTTATCCACAGTCATACAAAACAGAGCCACATATTTGCCATGTCCAGAAATGTGTGCCTGCCTCATTCTTCACCTCTGGCCCTCTCAGGTTTCTCTGAATTTTTATGGTAAGAAATTTGTTCAGTTAATCCCTAATTGATGGGCACTCATTTTCTAGTTCTTTGCTATAAGAAATTAAGCTACGAATTTTCTTTATACTTGTGTCCTTTTTCCTTGCTCTCTTTGGGGTATATCACAGGATACGTAAACTTCAGCACCATTTTTGGGTATAGTTCCAAAATTGCTTTCTGGAATGGCTGAACCACTTCACAGCTTCACCAGCAGTGCAATCGCACCCCTATTTTCTCTCGACCCCTTCAACATTTGTCATGTTCCTTTTTTTTCGTCATCCTTGTCCATCTGATAGGGGTGAGGTGGAATCTTAGACTGGCAGAACTCAGATTTAAATCTTACACCTTTCAATAAAAATGGCTATATAACCTAGAGATAAAAGACTGCATCACAAATTAGAGAATGGAAGGAGATGCCTCTCATACCTATAAGAATATATACAATTATAAGAACAAGAGGCAGCTAGGTGGTGCAGTAGATAGAGCACCGGCCCAGGACTCAAGAAAAACTAAGTTCAAATCCGGCCTCAGACACATAACACTTACTAGCTGTGTGACCCTGGGCAAGTCACTTAACCCCCATTGCCCAACCAAAAAAAAAAAAGAATGAGACTCTTTGAGAGGATTCAAAGGAGAGAAAGTAGACAGTTTTGATTACTTAGAATTGAAAAGCCTTTACATAAACAAAAGCAATACAGATAGAAGGGAAAATTAACTTGGGAAAAAGAAAACTTGGTAGCACATTTCTCTGATAAAGGTCTGATATCCAAGATATATAAGGAAGTGATACAAATATATTAAGAACAAAAGCCATTCCCCAGTGGATAGATGGTCAAAAAGTGTAAACAGGCAGTTCTGAGAAGAAAAGCAAGCTATCAGCAACCACATAAAAATGCTTCAAGCCACAAATAAGTGAAATGCAAAGGGAAAGGATGGATGTGTAAAAATAATAGCAGTAATATTTGTTCTACCAAGACCTGGAAATCAAGTTGGTAATTCTCGCCCCCCCCCCATCAGCTGGGGAATAGCTGCATAAATTATGGTATATGAATGAAAAGACAGATTGAAGAGAAAATGTATACAATAACAACATTGTGAAGGAAAACAATTGTGAAAGACAGAAGGTTTCTGATCAGTGCAAAAACCAATCATGACCCCCAGAAGTCTGATGATTAGTCGTGTTTCCCACCTCTTGGCAGAGAGAGGTGGTAGATTAGAGGTGAAGAGTTAGATGTACATTTTGAGACAGGGCCAAAGTTTGAAATTGTAGTTTGTAACTGTTTATTTGCTGGAAGGGTGGGCTTTTTAGGGGGAGGGTGGGGGTGGAATAGAAAATTAGTGATAGTAATAGTAAGTCAGAACCATCAGTGAGACATTTAAAAAAAAAAACATAGAAAAGGGCCTACAATAGGAAACACAGCCAAGCAGGGCAGTGTTGGAACTACTCTATTAAATTTGAAATAGAATAGAAAAAAATTAACTTTTCATAGTGGGGACTTCATTTTCATAGGCAGTCCATTTTCCTTTATCCTTTTTATAAGTAAATGTTCATGTCTTATGTTGGTCAAGTTTATAATAAAATTGAATAAAGAATATAAAATGGGAAAAGCTGCATCTATATATAATTAGTGCAATAACAAGACATTGACTTACTGATTTTAACAAATGAAATGTATGTATTTTTGCTGTGGGCCTAGAACAGAGCAGCAGTGTTGGAAAGCTTCTAATGAAATTGTCACTTGACCTAGGTACTATGAGAATTTCATATTTGTTGGATTATTAACTACTTTATGGAGTATTCCCTGAATTCAGAATATTGAATATAAGTCATTGAGATTCTGTCATGTTTCTGGAAGTCATAGAATAGTTTTCATTTTGGGAAAGGCTTTTTTCCCTTTGGCTTTCTTGTATTTAAAAAATTTAAAACCAAGGTTGTAGAGAAGATTTTTGTAAACATTTAATTTCAGGGTTTGTTTAATTATTGAAAAACCTGAAATATTAATATGTGAAATTTCAGTTGAGTTGTCCCCTCTTATTAGAGGTTCTTTTTGTGGAATGGGATTTCAAGTGACTATCATTTTGCTTTTCTCATTCCAGGATTTTGAAACTCCTCTAAGTATTAATTACATGGAAATGCTATTTTATTTTATTTTTTTGGGGAGGCAATCAGGATTAAGTGACTTGCCAGGGTCACACAGCTAGTGTAAAGTGTCTCAGGCTGGATTTGAACTCAGGTCCTCCTGAATCCAGGGCCAATGCTTTATCCACTGTGCCACCTAGCTGCTCCAAAATGCTATTTTATTTTAAAAAAAATTTTTCCCAACTACATGTAAAAAGAATTTGTGAGGGCGGCTAGGTGGCACAGTGGATAGAGCACTGGCCCTGAAGTCAGGAGGACTTGAGTTCAAATCCAGCGTGAGACTAAACACTGGTGCAGCTAGGTGGCGCAATGGATAGAGCATGGCTCTGGAGTCAGGAGGACCTGAGTTCAAATCCGGATTCAGACATATAACACTCACTACCTGTGTGACCTTGGGTGAGTCACTTAACCCCAATTGCCCTTACCCCTCAAAAAAAAAATCAGGAAAAAAAAAAGGAAAACAATTTTTGTCATTTGTTTTTTAAAGTTTTTGAGTTCCAAATTCTCTCCTTCCCTCCCTACCCTCCCCCCTCATTGAGAAGGCAAGCAATATGATGTAGGTTATACGTGTGTGGCCAGGTAAAACATTTCCATATTAGTCATGTTATAAAAGAAAACAGATACTCCCCTTCCCCCAAAAAACAAACAAACAAACAAACAAACCAAGAAAAATGAAGTTTAAAAAAAGTATGCTTCCATCTTCATTCAGATTACATCAATTCTTTCTTTGGAGGTGAATAGCATTTTTCATCATAAGTCCTTTGGAATTGTCTTGGGTCTTTGTACTGCTGAGAATAGCTAAGTTAGGGGTGGGGAACCTGTGGTCTTGAGGCTACATGTGGCTCTCTGGGTCCTCAAGTGTGGCCCTTGACTGAATCCATACTTCACAGAACAAATCAATTTGGGTTCAGTCCAAAGGGCCAGACTTGAGGACCTAGAGGGCCACAGGTTCCCCCACAGTTATCTTACGATACTGCTGTTACTGTATACAAAGTTCTGGTGTTGCTCACTTCACTTTGTATCAGTTCATTTAAGTTTTCCAAGTTTTTCTGAAACCATCCTGCTCATCATTTCCTCTAACACAATAGTATTCCCTTACAATCTCATACTACAACTTGTTCAGCCATTCCCCAATTGATGGGCACCTCATCAGTTTCCAATTCTTTGCCATCACAAAAAGAGCTGCTATAAATATTTTTGTATGTATAGATCCTTTTCCTTCTTTTTTTTTTTTTGGATCACTTTGGAATACACACCTAGTAGTGGTATTACTAGGTGCACAGTTTTATAACCCTTTTGGCGTGGTTCCAGATTGTTCTCTAGAATGGCAGGTTCAGTTCACAACACTACCAAGAGTGCATTAGTGTCTCTATTTACCCACATGCCCTCCAACATTTGTCATATTCCTTTTCTGTCGTATTAGCCAATTTGATAGGTATGAGGTAGTACCTCAGAGTGGTTTTAATTTGCATTTTTCTCAATCAGTGATTTAGAGTGCTATTTATTTTATTTTATTTTATTTTATTTTATATTGGCTGGCAATGAGGTTCAGTGAGTTGCCCAGGGTCACAGAGCTAGTAAGTGTCAAGTGTCTGAGGCCAGATTTGAACTCAGGTCTTCCTGACTCCAGGGCCAGTGCTCTATCCACTCCACCAACTAGCTGCCCCTATTTTATTTTTTAATAGGAGTGTGTTTTAATGTCCAATTTCTTGAGTAGAGTTTGTAGGGAAAGCGCTTTCCCCCCCATTGATAAGACTGTGGAGGTAAGTTTTTATTAGGTACTCTTTCAAAGCAAAATTGTTAAGTAAATAAATACTCTTTTACCAGATAATTTAAATATAAACTAAATGTATACTTTTTACTATGAGTTTCCTGGCGAAATTAAAGCATTAATCCTGATCATAAATGACATAGTACTAAAAAAGCTTCTAACAGACTTGATAGAGTTTGGGAATCTTTTCTGTACCCTTTGGTGTGGGACAGGACTGCAGATCCTTCTGGTCCTGAAACTTACCAAGAATTGGGGTGACTTTAGAGAAAATACTCAGCTGCCCTGCTCCTGATTTACTATCTCCATAAAATGAGGACATGTGATGATTTCCTAAGGTCCTTAACAGCTCAGACTAGAAACCATTCTGTAACTACTTAACTTATTTCATTTGACTAAGTTTTATTGGACTTTTGTGTGCATGTTTTATAAAGGTATGTTTCTACTGAAGCAGAGAAAAACTTGTATTAATGAGTTTGCCTCCATATTTCATACCTTGCAGTGATGTGGTGCCTGTCCTTGAATTTTTGCAGGAAAATTTGTCCACAATTTTGGGAGGGACTTCACCCAGAAAGATATAATGAAGACGTCTTAGACCTATTTTATATCTTTAAGACTTTTTACTGTTTTCATGGTTGTCTTGATTTGTAGACATGAACTGAATTAACCTGTTTTTACTTTACAATTTGTTTTATGCAATAATGAGTTGCTATAGTTAACATCTTTCAAAGTCACTTATGGTGTGAAACTAAAGTATGTATGATTAAACAGTGAAATCAGCCTTTGTTGGAGTGAAAAATTAAAAAGCATGTTGTATAGTATAGTAACTTCTAACTCTTCTGAATTCATTTAGCTATTTTTAAAAAAGTAAAACTACCAACAAAGATCATCCCTTTATGCAGAAATGAGGGTTTGGGTTTTTTAAAGACCACTTTTCTCTATGTATAGTTCAATGCATTTCTACCATAGAAGATTGTTTCTTTAAGAACAGCTGCTAATTGGGAGTTAACTCTACCACCTATATAACTTTCTGATCTTAAGCAAATGTCTAAACTTGGAAAACATTGATTCCAAGGGACTTACATTGTAAAGTAGAAAGGCTAGTAGAAATGGGAGTGGAATTTGTATTGCCTAACATGGGGGAGGCCTTGAGGCCACATGTGGCCCTCTGGGTCCTCAAGTGTTGCTCTTTGACTGAATCCGAACTTCACAGCGCAAATCTCCTTGATAACAGGATGTGTTCTGTGAAGTTTGGATTCAGCCAAAGGTTCTTTGCTTGACGACCTGGAAGGTTCCCCATTCCTGGTCTAACACTTATGCATCCCAAGTGATATTTCTTCAGGGGGACAAAAAAAGGGAGGTCTGGGAAGTAGAAAAGGAAAGACTGTCTAATTAGATTTTTTTTTATCATGCTAGAAAATGCGGAAGCAGACTTCCACGCTGACCTGGGGCAGAATGAAGAGAAATCTGTGCCCGCCGCACCTGTTCCCAGCCCAGTTGCATCAGCACCAGCACCATCCAGAAGAAATCCACCTGGTGGCAAGTCCAGCTTAGTCCTTGGTTAGATATGACTTTTTTTTCCTCCCCTCCATGCTTGTGAACTGCACAACTTGAGCCTGACTGTACATCTCTTTAAATTTTCTTTCATTAAAAAAGCACTTTATGTACTACTGCCTTTTTTTTTTTTTTTTTTTGAAAGAACAAGTAATCCCCCATTTGTCCAGGTCTGCGGGCCATGGCATGAGTGTTCTCTATAGTAGATTGCTGAGGGAACACTTTATGAAGCTTAGTGATGTGTTTTCAAGAACTAAAAACTCAGTTCTAAATGTGTTAGAGTTTTTTGTACCTAGGTGGTTTTTTAAACTCCGTTTTTGATCAATTGAGGCTCAGTAAACCCATGTAAACAGTCTGAAGGTACAGTTCTTCTCAGGCCCCCGAAACACAAAGTTGACTTGATCCTAGGCTGTCTCTTTGGTTTCAATCTAATTTATCCTGTAAATGTCCTTTGCTACAAGCATTCACACTTTACTGTGCCATACAAACCTATAAAGAACCCTGGGCCTCATATGCCTTGCTGACTGGAAAACAGAAACTGTCTTTAGATTTTGAACATAGGAATTACACTAGGTGTAAAATTGATGTCTGACAAGCTGAGCCTAAGACAGGGGAAGGAGTTGAGTGTCCAATTGAATTTAACTGGATTCAGAAACAGTAGAGAAAGGGGAGTGAATCATACAGAAAGGAGTATTCATCAAGGAATACCTGCAGGGGTATTTTCCTACAAAATGACTCAGTGCTGTGTGCATGATCATGCTGGTGCTTGACCATGAAGTGAAAGTCTCATCTTTAAAATGTGTTGTAATTTCATTAATCTGGGCTGTTTAAAGTAAACAACAGAGAAGTTTTGAAGTGTTGTGTCCTGTGTTTGTTTTTTTTGGTGGGGGGAGGAGAGGTAGATTTTTACTCTTCTGTATGTTTTGGTTTTTTTCCTTGAACCTATGAATTGTTCATTTCTTCACTTATTTTTACAATTTATACTTGGGTTTGCCCCCTTGGTTTTAACTTTTTTAAGCTCAAGAAATGGCAGAATTAACCAGCAAAACTGAGTATAATCCTTTAGGGGAAAAAATGGTCATTCAGTGAAACAGGACTTTCAAGCATTCTTGATTAAACAACCAGAGCTGAATAGAAAATTTGACTTTCAAATACAAGACTCGAATGGAACTTGAAGAGGTTAACAGGAAAGAAAAATCATAAGAGACTTATTAAGGTTGAACTGTTTACATTCTTGCATGGAAAGATGATATTTATAACTCATGAGACCTTTGTCAGTATTAGGGTAGTTGGAGGGTAAAAATTATATGTGTGTGTATATATATGACAGATAAATAAATAGTGGGCACAGGGTGAGTTGAAGATGACGGGGTGATATCTGGAGAATAGAATTAAGAGGTGAGAGGATTATACTGGGAGAAGGAGAAAGGGAGAGGCAGAATGGGGTAAATTATCTCACATAAAACAGACAAGAAAAGGCTTTTACAGTGGAGGGGAAATGGGGGAAGTTGAGAGGGAATGAGTGAATCTTATTCTCATAGGATTTGGCTTAAGGAGGGAATAACATACACACTCAATTGGATATGGAAATCTATTTTACCCTACAAGAAAATAGGGGGAGAAGGGGACAAGAGAGCAGGGGGATAGAGGGAAGGGCAGATTGGGGGAGGGGTAATCAGAAGCAAACACTTCTAAGGAGGGACAGGGTCAAGAGAGAAGAGAATAAATGGGGGGGCAGGATAGGATGACGGGAAATATACTTAGTTTTTCACAACATGACTACTATGGAAGTGTTTTGCATGACTACACATGTATAACCTGTGTCGAGTTCCTTGCCTTCTCAATGAAGGTGGGTGGGAAGGGAGAAAATTTGTAACCCAAAGTTTTAAAAATAAATGTAAAAAAAAAAAATTGTTTTCATATGCAACTGGGAAATAAGAAATACAGGCAATGGGGTATAGAAATCTATCCTGCCCTAGAGGAAAATAGAAGGGGAAGGGGATAAGAGATGGGGGGCAGGGGGGAATAGAAGGGAGGGCAGATTAGGGGAAGGGTATTCAGAATGCATGCCATCTTGGGGTGGAGGGAGGGTAAGATGGGGGTGAAAATTTGGAACTCAAAATCTTGTAGAAGTGAATGTTGAAAAGACTAAAAATAAATCAATTAATAAAAAAAAAAAACAGGAACAGAAAAAAAAAAGGCTGAGTTAAAAAAACATTTGCTTTCTCCAGAAATGAGACAGTGGAATAGTATGGATAACACTTGGCTAGTGGAATCCAATGGCATCAAATGCTTCCTACTTGAAACATTTTTACCAGACTTGCTGGACAAACATTCTCTTGATATCAGTGTGCCATATTGATGACTGTATCTGAAGGTCAGAAAGTAGAGAAACAAAAGGATTGAGCCATTCAAAGACTGGATCTCATTGACCACTGAATGATGGAAGGTGACCAGAATTAAGGTCTAATAAAGTGCTGTCTATAGTTTAGAAACTGGCTGGTCTTAATTTGGTCCACAAAACTAACATTAAGAAAGAAAGCTTGTGGTGGGGCAGCAGTGGATAGAGCTCTGGCTCTGACCTTGGGAGTCAGGAGGACTCGAGTTCAAATCTGGCCTCAGACGCGTCACACTTACTAGCTGTGTGACCCTGGGCATGTCACTTAACCCTGATTGCCTCAAAAAAACCCAACATTTGGTTTAAAGAAAGAAAGCTTGAGACAGAGAAGAGAAGAGGGAGACTGAAGACTACATTATTAGCATTAGGTAGATTACGTTTTGAAGTGGATAGAGTGCCAGACCTGGAGTCAGGAAAATCTGAGTTCAAATCCAGCTTCAGACACTAGCTATGTGATGTTGGCCAAATCATATAACCCTTTTTGCCTCAGTTTCCTCATCTGTAAATTGAGCTGGAGAAGGAAATGATTTATCACTCCACTGTCTTTGCCAGGAAAACCCCAAATGGGGTCACGAAGAGTTGGACACAGCAGAACAACTAGACAACGAATAACCACTGTTGTAAGTTTTTATATGGCTTGGAGGCAGCCAGATAAGCCACCCAGATTTTATTTTAGCACAAGAACTATCTTCAGGAGTTTAGGACCTATGCTTTATTCTTGGCTCTAGGGTTCTTGCCTTGCCTGAGGAATGCTTATTTGGAAGAATGTCTCATCAAGTACTGCTGACCACATTTCCTTTCTTGCAACCACTGTGAAACATTTTATTTGCTAAACAGTGTGAAACTAGAATTTTCTCCTTCTTTTGTATCCACCTTTATAACCAAATCAGGCTGTCACACTCATTGGCTTACATTTTAAGAAACTGATTATAGATTATTTTTTTTTTTTGCTTTTTAGTGAGACAGTCGGGGTTAAGTGACTTGCTCAGGGTCACACAGCCAATGTCAAGTGTTTGAGAGCAGATTTGAACTCAGGTCCTCCTGATTCTAAGGCCAGAGCTCTATCCACTGTGCCACCTAGCTGCCCCAAGATTCATTTTTAAGCATGTAAAAGGACTTTGCCGAAAAAAGTTGCACCAAGGGTCCCCCTCCCCACCCCTATCCACCCATATGCTAAAGGAAAGGCAGATTTCCATGGAGACTTAAAGAGCATTACAGTCAGGTTACCTTTGGCCCCTGCCTCTTACTTAGGAGCACAGATATAGAGCTGGAGAGAGACCAGCTAGTCCAGTCCCTCATTTTTTAAAAACTTCAAATTTATTTTCAGTTCAATCAAGTAATATTTATTAACTAGCAACTATGTTCGAGGCACTGTACTAAGTGCAGGGGGTACAAAAGATGGCAAGACAGTACCTGCCCTCAAGGAGTTTACAATCTACTGGGGGAGACAATAAGCAAACATAGTTAAAAAGCATGCTATATATAGGAGGAATAGGAAATAATTAACAGAGGAAAGGCACTAGAATTAAGAAAGGTTGCAGAAGGCTTCCTGTAGAAGATGGGGATTTTATTTGGGATTTAAAGGAAGCCGAGGAGGTCAGTAATTGGAGGAGAGAGCATTCCAGGAATGGAGGAGAATCAGAGAAAATGCCCAGAGGTGAGAGGCCAGCGTCACTGCGTTGGAGAGTTCTGAATTCTCTCCCACCCCCACTCATTGAGAAGGCAAGAAAAACAAAACGCATTATATATATGCATAATCATGTAAAACATTTCCCACATTAGTCATGTTCCCCCTCCCCCCCCAAAATAAAAAGGACAAAATATATTTCATTTTGCACTCGAGTCCATCCACTCCCAGTCTGAAGGTTGACATCATTAGCCCTTTGGAATGGTGGTTGGTCATTATTTTACAGACGAGGAAACAGGTCCAGAGGCTGTCGGACATGGGGTCCTCACCCCCTACCCTCTCCTGGGTTCTTATCACTGTACCATGACATCGTTAAGGAAGACACGATTTTCTTAATGCCCTGCTTACTGAAAAAGGCAGGTGGCTTTTCCAACATGGGCCTGGTGCAGTGTGTGAGGCATGTAGGGGGCTGGACAGGGATCCTGGACCTTTTTATTGTTGCCTTGTGTCCAACTCTTCATGACTCCATTTGAGATTTTTTTGGAAGAGGTACTGGAGCGCTTTGCCATTTCCTTCCCCAACTCGTTTTACAGATGAGGAAACCGAAGCAAACAGGGTTAAGTGACTTGCCCAGGGTCACAGTGTCTGAGGCTAGATTTGAACTCTTCCTGACTTTAGGCCCGGTGCTCTGTCCAATGAGTCACCTAACTGGACCGTTAAAGCCGATTAATTGCTACTTTCTCTGGGGCTCCCCAAATTAGAAGGTGCTCTGCCGCCTGGTCTGACAGGGATGCCCTGATGAGGTTTGTCCTGCTAATTAGTCTCTCATTAGCTGCCCCTTGAAGATTAGAATAATTTGGATGCTGGTCCCCAGGGGAGAGCGCTCCGGGGAGTGGAGCCAGGCCCCGCCCCCGCCAGGCCCCGCCCCCCCTGTCCCTGCCGCTGCTGTTCCGGTTTCGGACTCTACTGGGCCATGGAGCCGAAAAGACCACGTGCGTTGAGGGTGCTGGTGGACATGGACGGTGTGTTGGCCGACTTTGAGGGCGGCCTCCTGCGAGGCTTTCGTCTCCGCTTCCCCCAGGACCCCTACGTGGCCCTGGAGGAGCGGAGAGGTTTCTCGGCCCGGGACCAGTACGGAGCCCTACGGCCCGACCTGGCGGTAAGGGAAACCCTGCCGGGCTCACACCATCACCCTCCCTCCCCTAGGCAGGGTGGCGCGGGCTCTTCCAAACCTGCACCTTTCCCTCCCTTGGCCCCGACCTCAGCGGATCTTTCGGAAACTCTGGGGCAGGCCAGTTGCCCCACTAAGCGTTCCTTTAGCAGAATGACCTCCCTGGAGAGAGAGCCACAGACTGGGTGTGGAGGCAAGCTGGAATATTATGTCTTTCAGGAGAAAGTGGCAAGTATTTATGAAACACCAGGGTTTTTCCTAGAGCTGGAGCCCATCCCTGGAGCCTTGGAAGCCTTGCAAGAAATGAAACGCATGAAGGAGTAAGGAAGTGTGTAGGGAGGTGGAGGGAGGGAGTTGGGAGAGGAAGTATTGAGACTGAACCAATTCTTGGGGCCTCAGTTTCTCAAAAGGGTCTGTTTATTTTGCAGTACTGAAGTCTTCATTTGCACAAGCCCACTGCAGAAGTACGATTACTGCGCTAGTGAGAAGGTCGGACTTTTTTGGATTAACATGTTTTAGAATTTAGAGACTCTCATATAATGGGTGGATGAACCTAGTTGTCTAAACCCTGAATTAAAAATTAAAAAAAAAAACAAACAATACCAGACATCTTCCTCTAAGAAACCTAGAAAACATCAAGCATATGGATATCCTGGGTAGGGAGGAATGTGTAGAAGAATAGGGGTGAAAGAAGGGGATTATTCACTGTATGGATATGTAGACACAAAGCATTTCCAGCCAGGCTACTGGCCAGTTTTCTCTCACAATTTAGCAAAACTATCAAGTTCCCTATTCCACTGCCTTGGCACCCCAGCTCACTGGAAGAAAGTCAATGCTTGAGTGTCAGAACATGGCTGACCATTGTACTCCTCTCCATTACAACAGTACCACTGGGTGGACAAGCACCTAGGTCCAGAGTTTGTTGAACGAATGATCCTGACCAGAGATAAGACAGTGGTGTCCGGGGACCTGCTCATTGATGACAAGGATACTATTCAAGGTTAGGACATGTTCCTTAGAATTTTTAAGATACAGGTTTACCTGCGAGCACCACAGAGGGAACTTTTTGTTGGCTGTTGTTAAAATACCCTATGACTCCAGTTGCTTTCTTGTGCCCTGCCCCAGGCCAAGAGGAGAACCCAAGCTGGGAGCACATCTTGTTTACTTGTTGCCACAACCAACACCTGGACCCACTCCCCTCCAAAAGAAGGCTTAACTCCTGGAGTGACAACTGGAGAGCCATCTTAGATAGTGAGCGGAAAGCAAGACTAGGACAGAACTGAAAGGGCATCTGCAGTAGGTACAAATGGAGCTCCGTAAGCCACATCAGCCCATCTAGGGACGAGTGACTTCAAACGAGAGAGGAGAGTAGAGGGGAGGAAAGATGAAATAGGCCAGGGAACAGATCTGTAGTCCAAGGGTAATCTCCCCAGCACAGACCCAACCATCAAATACCTCCAGAAATAACTGTAACACAGTATCATAGTAACAACATGGGACTGTTGGTCACACATTGTCAATAAAAAATTTTGACTCTGAGGCTTGCTGTGTCTATTTGAAATGGTGAAGGGGGCAGAAGGCCTAATAGTTATCTTCCCATACATTAACCCATTCATTCTCTTATTCTCTTAAATAGTTATCTTCCTATACATTAATCCATTCATTCTCTTAAGTGCTGTCTTTACTCTATGGTCCCTCCTTCTTACCCCTCCCCCAATACCCCCCCTCCACACACACACATGCACACTTTCATTGGTCTCCTCTTGGTCTCCTCAAAGCCTCCAGCAGGTGAAAGTACAGAAGGGAAACAAAATCTCTTAGCACCCTTCATTGAAGTGGTGGGAGATATGGTTATGGAATATTGCACATACTGTTGGATGCAGTTGAGGTGTTGGTTGGTTTTGCCAATTTTTTTATGGTTCCTTGAGTACAGGGAAGTTGGGAAGAATGTATTCTGAAATGAATGTGATGTAAAAACCTAGATTGCAGCTAGGTGGTGCAATGGATAGAGTGTCTGGCCTGAAGTCAGGAAGACTCATCTTGAGTTCAAATCTGATCTCAGACACTTAATCGCTGTTGGACCCTGGGCAAGTCACTTAACCCTATTTGCCTCAGTTTCCTCTGTCAAATGAACTGGAGAAGGAGATGGCAAACCACTCTAGTAGCTTTGCCAAGAAAACCTCAAATAGAGTCACAATGAGTCAGACATGACTAAAAAACAAAAAAGCATTGATAAAAATGAAATTTTCATTTAAAGGAGAGGCAGAAATATACACCTATGGCCTCAACTCTCACCATACACTAGCACAGGTAACGATTATGCAAACTTGTAGCAATCCATTCCAGATAATGGTCTTGTTACGTGTAAACATGTGCTTAACAGCCTTCTTCCCAGTGCGCCTTTGGTGCCCGACATGAGCTTGAAGGGGCCAGAGGTTGTATTAAATTCATTCCATGGCCCTTTAACAAGGAGGATTTTACATCAAGCTGAGGGGGCAGACCCTAAAGAAGGTGGCTGGAGGATAAAAGAGTGTGTAAACCACTGGTATGATAACTGAGCATCCCTACATGTTGTTACTCTTGGACACAATCTCATTTGATCCTCACAATGACAATTATTATGCCCATTTTGATGGGAAAATTAAGGTTCATGGATGTTAAAAGTATTGTTTAACAAAGATCACATGGCTGGTAATCAGGCAGGGCCAGAACTAGAATTCAGGTCCTGGTTAGTCCTCTCTCTTTTACACATTATCACTCCTATTTAACCAAAGTAACAAAACTGTTTTTCATGGTGTATTAGTATCCATTTCAGTGCTTTGTAGTTATACCTTGCAGATTTTAAGGGAACTTATATATTAATAGCCAAATCCCCCAGCCTGAAAGGTATAAAACCTTGGCCACTATCTGTTGACAATGGCACTGTCCCCGCTGGTAGTAGCACAACTTGTCTGTCCTGAGATTCCTCTTCCAAGGCCTCCCCTTTCTACCCCCCAAACTGCCTTATTGTTTAATGGGATATTTTTCTCCTGCAGAGGGCTTGTGATCTTTCTTCTCTCTAGTCCACTGGCATAAATTGGTCTTCTCCCAGGTTCAGCTTCCCTTACTTACACTGCCCTTCTAACAAGCCTCTCCACCAACTGTGCAGCACCTGGCTGCCAACCCAGGGCTCCCAAGGATGGACACCACCTCCCTGGCATCAGTCTTTAGGGAGTGGGATGCCCACAGCGGTGTGTGGGCTCAGGTTCTGGGCTTCTTCCACCTGGCGAGGGGAGCAGTAGTCTTCCAGGAAGATGGTAGCCAGATTGCTAAGTCTCTTATTTGCAGAGAGGGAGAAGCGGAGCATACATTCCACCACGGGCAGGGCTGTGAGCTCCTGGATGGACTGGGATGTGCTCAGGTACATGAGTGTTGTGACCGCGGACATAACTGTCTCCTCATTGGAGCTGGACAGGCAGTTGAGGATGGGTTTGATGCCTCCCATCTGCAGAATATACTCTTTGTTGACTTTATCCAGGCACAGGTTGCAGAGGCCCCCTACAGGAGAAAGCAAGTCAAACATCTTGTTGGCCTTTGGACCATAATCCTGGGGAGGGGGGGCCCTCGAAGGAGAGGAGAGGGAGAAAGAAGGGGGAGGATGCCGCATTTCTGCAATTCTAAAACTTGTTCATAGAATTACAGTCCAGAATTTGAAAGTTAGAAGAAATCCCATTTGGGGTTTGCTTGGCAGAGATAGTGGAGCGGTTTGCCATTTCCTTCTCCAGCTCATTACAGATAAGGAAACAGGCAAACAGGGTGAAGTGACTTGCCCAGGGTCCCACAGCTAGGAAGTGTCTGAGGCCACATTTGAACTCAGGAAGATGAGTCTTCTTGACTCTAGGCCTGGCGCTCCATCCACTGTGCCAGCTATTCCTATCTCCTATCCCAAAAAGAATCCCCATCACAGCATACCTGATCAGGGGTGATGAGCTAATTCTAGGGGCTATGGGGACTCTGTCATTTTGGATATCTCTTTTGGAAAACTCAGTTTTTGCTTGAAAAAAATCCAATGAAGGTAAACCCACCACCTTCTAGGGCAGCCTCTCCCACTTTTGGATGGATGACTCCTGGAGCCCAGGGAGGCCCATGGATGGAGGCAGACGGACCAAACCTAAAAACAGAGTCCCTTCTAATAGGGAACCTCAGGATTAGACCTACTAGGAGAGGATCCTGTTACAAGGCAAGCAAGGCAGGAAAGACTAACTTTCATCACTGGTTTTGACTTTCTCTCCTCTTGGGATTTCTATTTTCTGGTTCTTTCTTTGCTTTGGAGTAGGTTCAGTTCATAATCATCCTCTTCTCTAACAAATGATGTGTAAATATCCAGATTTAACAAAAGTATGAGAAAAAACAGTGCCTTTCCTTCAGCCCCCTTGAAAAAAAGTTTCCCAAATGGAACTTTTACTAGGAATCCATAGGAAAAAGGAAAAAGATAAGCACAATGACGTCCATGTTTTCTGGGTCCTGTTCCCAACCTAATTAGAGTTTAGGCCCAGGCGTGGCTGGTGCCTGAGTCCTTGTCCTCTCCTCAACCCTGGCTGTTTAGCTACACCCAGCCTCAAAAACAGCTGAGCGTGACATCATGCTGCTTCACCCACCAGCATCTGCCTTGTCTCTTCCTGTCTCCTACCCAGCTTCTCTTGGAGTACCCACTAAGTTCCTGTTTTCTGTCTCATTTGTAGAGTAGAGGTGATAAACCTATCATCTCTTTTCATTCCAAATTATTCTACTTGTTACTGCCAGAAAAATCTTCTTAAAGCAGCTATGATCATGTGTGGCAGGGCTGATATCTATTGGAGTTCTTCACTACCCACCCCTCTTCCTTCCTTCCTGGCATATGGGGATTAGCTTTTACCAAACGAAGACAAAACCGCCAGCCTGGGACTGATTCGCCCCCAGTTCGATCATACAGCTTCCCCTTTTTGGATGGACAGCTCTTGGGGCCCAGTGGACCCATGAATGGAGGTCAGAGACCAAAGTTGCATCTAAAGGCACAAAAATTCTCAGCTGCCGAGAGTTGCATATCCCAGCCTTTGGGGCAAAGTAAACTGCCTTTTGTCAGTTGTTCAGCAGCTTGTGAGCACGTCATGTCATCCCAACATGGATCCTAAACTAACAATGTGCTTAACCTGAGCCACTGCCAACATCATATAACCTACCTTCTCACCCCCAGCTACTCAAAATCCTCCAGTGGCTTTCTTCCCCATTGCCAAATGAATACAGTGAAAGCTTCTGAACTAGCCCACTGAGGCCTTCCACCATTTGGCCCCAGCTAACCTCATCTCTGACTATTTCCCTCCACATACCGCAAGTTTTACATACCAAACGACACTCTGCTATTTTTGATCTATGCCTAACTATGTCTACTTCTGGCCTTCTCATCAGTGTCAGAATCGAAGGACTGGATTTGAAGAGAGCACTGGAAGGAAAGAACAGGATCCAGAGGCCTGGATTAGAATTCTGGCTCTGCTACCCACGTGTTGAGGAACCTCTGCCAAGTCCCTTCAGCTTTCAGAGCCTCAGTTTCCTCAATCTGATTCTTTTGTACATTGCACCACTTCCTTCCCCAAACACTTAAAGAGAGGAAAACAAGCAAGCACACAGGCAACAAATTGACCAGACCAACCCCCAACTTAACAAATAGCTAGCATTTATGTAGGACTTTAAGGTTTGCAAAACGTTTTACAAATGTCTCTTCTGATCCCTGTAACAACCGTAGGTGGCAGGTATTATATTTATCCTCTTTTTACAGATAAGGAAACTAAGGCAAACAGAGATTAAGGGACTTGCTCAGGGTCATATGGCTAGTACTCTGATCCAGTGACACTGGCTTCCTTGCTATTCCTCAAAGAAGACACACCATCTCTTCATTCTGGGCATTTTCGATGGCTGTCACTCACGCACAGAATGTTCTTCCTCCTCATCTCCATCTCTGGGCTTCCTTCAAATCTCAGTGAAAATCCCACCTTCTACAGGAAGCCTCTCAGTTCCTCTTAATTCTAGTGCCTTGTCTCTGATTACTTCCTATTTAACTTATAAATAAGTTACTTGTACATAGCTGTTAGGCAGCTAGGTGGTGCAGTAGAGCACCAGGCATGGAGTCAGGAAGACCTGAGTTCAAATTCAGCCTCAGATACTTGCTAGCTGTGTGACCAAGGGTAAGTCATTTAACACTGTTTGCCTCAGTTTCCTCATCTGTAAAAAAATCAGCTGGAGAAGGAAATGGCACACCACTCCAGTATCTTTGCCTAAGAAAACCCCAAATGGGGTCAAAAAGAGTCGAATATGACTGAACAACAACAATAAATGTAGTTGTTTGCGTACTGTCTCCCTCATTAGTCTGTGAGTTCTTTGAAGGCAGGGTCTGTCTTTTGCCTCTTTGTACTCCTGATGCCCATAATGCCTGGCACATAGTAGCCACTCAAGAAGTGCTCACTGACTGACAAGTATCCAAAGCTGGATTTGAATTCCAGTCTTCCAGTTCAGAATTCCAGAACCAGAATTCAAGGTTTTCCAGTGCTCTTAATGTCACAGACTGTGCTTTCTTTAGGTTTCCTTTCCTCCAGATGTTATCCCCAAACTGCCAAAATTCCTTTAGGTGTTGAATTCACCTCCTGCTACCATCAAAGTTGCTTCTGTTTCTTCCTTCTGGAATGCCTGGCATTCAGCGCTTTTACTTTATCACTTCTTCTCACTTTTATTGCTCCATTTCTCAACACTTCCTGTCCTATCTTCCCTGCTCCCCCCAACCCCAAAATCTAGCATTGCTTCTTATCCCAAAGACCACAACTCTACCATGTTAGTCATGAAAGAACTCTCTGGGGGCTTCAGGCACTGCCTAGGGAAGAATAATTCACTTTGTCCTGGCTTCCTGCAATCTTTGGGCCCACATTCCACACTGGAACCTCACTACTAACTGGAGTCTAAGGGCAACAAGGCATATATTAGTTATGTAAGTCTCTTGGTTAACAGCTGTGGTCACTAAAACAATGCCTTCCATCCTGAAACTGTTTGCCTTGCTGGCCTACAGCACTGTTATTAGCAGATCTAACTACAGCACCATATACTGTGGAAGCATATGAAAAACACTTTTAGTTCAAATGAAAATACCAAGAAATAAATACTTCTCCAGTCTAAAGTTCTTTCTAGACTTAACCTGAAGGAAACTTTACTGGTACTGAATCAAACCTCTTAGGAAATGCGTTGCACTAAAATTCCTTCTCATGGACCTAACCTTTTCTCTTAGGAAAGTATGTTAAAGGTTAAGAAGGAAATCTAAGGCCCTGGAAAATGGCATAAAGGTAATAGCCAGTCTTAGAATGAGAAATACTTAGGTCTAGTTAAGGTCATTGCCTTCTCCTATTTAATGATCCACATAATGGCACAACCCTCTTTCAATATTTTCTGAAGGGATTAGAGTATTAGGAGGTCTCTCAGATTACTTCTCAGGTCCTTTGTGACCAGCTGTGAGAGAGCCCTTGACGGGAAGGTCAAAGAGGAATGAGGTGAATTAGAAGAATGACCCTCTAGAAGGAATGGCTATTGTACTGTTAGATGAAGAAAAAGTTAACTGTGAGCCATGTAACTGTATTAGGAAGCTCTCCATGTTCAAGATTCCTATAAATGTTAACTTCAAAGTGTCTTATGTCAGAGATATGACTGAAGGCCTGAGGGGACTGTGCCACTCTGCACATCTCCCTCTAGCAGATTAATGCTTGAATTTAGATTAATGTTCAATGGATAAAAACTTTCTGGCAGACTTATGCCTATAACAGAGTAGATTATTAATTTTTTTTCTACACTAGCACCAAGAGGAAAGTAACGTCATCAATCCCGGTCATCACCTTCTGAAATCAGAGCTCTGGAGCTGGTGAGACAAGAGAGGCCCAACAAGGTTACAAGTTTAGGGGCAGTCTTTTTTTCCAGCCCGTACTAAGCCAGTGCTTAATCAATAATGAAAATTGGTGGAAAAAAAGACAGCCAAATAGCAAAAGAACAGCAAAGTAGGAAATGCAATCATTCCAAATGGGAAGATAAACAACAGAAAAGGCCAAGCAAGGGACAATTTAGCAAAAAGTTTTAGAAAACTGAGAAGTGAATTTGCGTAATTAAAAAAAAAAGATTCACCTGAGCTGATCTTTTGCTGTTGAAAAGCATCTGAAGCTGCAGCTGTATTGAAAGGATGAACTCCAAGCCCTCTTAAACACAGAATAAATGAGGAGGACCAGGTGACCACTAACGTATAAGAGTTTAGGGTTGGCAGGGACCTTGGAGAGCTCCCCGAAGAGGCAAGATTCCATTCTCCCGTTCTAAACTATGGAACATGGGCAGTCCTTATGAGACAAGCAAACAAAAAAAACTTCTGGGGCATAAAAAGAGAAAAGCAGGTTTAATATTAAAACTGGAACACAAGGGTCATAAGTGAAGGAAGGATAATGATAGCTCACACTGACACACAGCTTGGTTTACAAAACATTTCTGTCAAAGGAGTAACATCT